TTAGCCTCCATATATGAAAGAGAGAGAGAGAGAGAGAGAGAGAGAGAGAGAGAGAATGAGAATATGAGGTATTTGTCTTTATGTGTCTGGTTTATTTCATGTAACATAACATCCTCTAGTTGTACGTATTTCGCTGCAAATGATAGGATATCATTGTTTTTTACAGTCAAATAATATTCCATTGTATGTTTGTGTTTGTGTGTGTGTGTGTGTGTGTATCACATTTTCTTTCTCCATCAGTTGATGGGCACCTATGTCAATTTTATATTTGAGCTATTGTAAATAGTGCCACAATAAACATGGCAGTGCAGCTATCTCTTTTGTAGGCTGATTTTCCTTCCTTTGGATATATACTCAGCAGTGGGATTCCTGGATGATGTGGTAGTTCTATTTTTAGTTCTTTGGGGAACCTCCATACTGTTTTCCACAGTGGCTGTACTAATTTATATTTCCACCAATAGTGTATATGAGTTTCCTTTTCCCTACATCTTCACCAGCACTTGTTAGTTTTTCTTTTTTATTGTAGTCATTCTAATTGGAGTGAGATAATACCTCATTGTAGTTTTGATTTGCCTTTCCCTGACAACTAATGATGTTGAGCATTTTTTCATAAATTTATTAGTCATTTGAATTTCTTCTTTTGAGAAATGACTATTCACATCATCTGCCCATTTTTTTGGATGTATGTTTTTTTGTTCTTGAATATATTGTTCCTTATATATTCTGGATATTAATCCTTTTTCAGATGAATAGTTTGTAATTTTTTTTCTCCCATTCTGTAGGGTATGTCTTTGTTGTGTTGAGTGTTTCCATCACTGTGCAAAAGCCTGTTAGTCCTTTTAGTTTGATGTAATCTCCTTCATCTGTTTTTGCTTTTGTTATCTGTACTTTTGGAGTCTTATCAAAATCTTTACCTATACTGATGTGACACTTCTGACTGGGAAAAGCTAGAGTGGATTCTTGGAGGAGGTAAAATTTGAGTGGAGTCTAGTGGTCGAAAATAAATGGAAGGCTGGGGATGTGGCTCAGAGGCTGAGTGCCCCTGAGTTCATCCCAAGGACCCTAAATAAACAAACAAATAAATAAATTTCTTAGGCATAGGTGAGTTGGGCCTGGAGGGGAGATGGAGAACAGGAAGCTCAGGGCAATTCAATAGGCCTAGCTCTGGCTAGAAATACGCCTGAAGAAGTGGGTAAGGGCTGAATTGTGGAGTGCTTTGCTGGCCAGTCCTGGGATTTATGGGCCTCTCTCTTTGCTCCTCTGTGGACTCCTGCACACAAAGCCTGGGCTACCCTCTGCAGTAAGGTGGCAGCTGGCTGTCCAAGCCAGCTTCTGCCCTTCTTAGGGATTCTGGCACCCTGCCACTCATATCTACTGGGCAGGAACACAGGCCCCACCTCCTCCTTCCATCCTGCCAGCAGTGGGGTGAGTGCACAGGACAGCTGATCTGAAGGCAGCGACAGGCAGCTGAGGTTCCCCTCTACCCCTCCACATTAGTAGGCCTGGCAGACAACAGGAAGGCAGCCAGGCTGAGCAAGTCTCTTGTTAAAAGAAGCAGCCACACACGGTGGACTGTGGATAACAGGCCACTCAGCATTCATTAATTGCTCATCCCAAAGAAACCAGAAGATGGTGGGGGGGGAGGGGGTTGGCAAAGTCAAGGCAACCTGGACGGCTGAAACATCCACAGCCAGCTCCTGCTGCGTGTTTACTCCCCTCTTCCAGAGACTCCCTTCCCAGCTCCCTTCTGTCTCCTTTTATCTTTTAGAATAATTCTGAGTGGGTGATTAGGTCTAGAATAACATTGGGGAGTGACAAGAAATATGGATAAGAAGGGGGGGGCAGCATGAAACTAGTTAATTTTTAACTAGTTTCCTATTTATAATCTAATCATATTACTCAAAATTTGATTTTATAAAAAGATAGGAGAATTACTTGTACTCTTTGGCCTAGCACTCTCAAACTGCCATTATTAGCATCTTTACCTGTTATCTTCCAGTCTCCCACCAAATTTGTACATATATGACACACTTTTTTCTTTTTCTTTCTTTCTTTTTTTCTCTCTTTTCATACTAGGATTAAACCTACTGGCACTTTATCACTAAGCTACATCCCCAAACCTGTTTTTTTTTTTGTTTTTTTTTTTTGAAACAGGTCTCACCAAGTTGTTCAGGGTCTTGCTAAATTGCTGAGGTCAGCCTCAAACTTTCAATTCTCCTGTCTTGGCTGTCTCTCTTGGGTTATTTGATTCCAAACCCCATGAACTTTCTACTCTCTCCACTACACTATTAGCTAGGTTCAGAAAAACTCCAGGATTTGCCCAAGATCACAAAATTCCTGTGAGGCAAAATGATCCTGGAACCCAGAAGCCCTGGTCTTACATCAGGGGCACTTCCCCAGGATGTCTCATAAGCTGTCTTCTCTCCAATCTTTCGCTTGTACTTTCTGGACCTACTTGATGTCTCCCTGTGTCCACTGTTCAGGCTCAGCAGGCCCATAAGACTGAAGTGAAAAGGCAGAAATAGAAAGGAATTTGGTGCCTGTAGAACGTTGTAGCTATTGAACCTCTGGATCATTGAACATCTGATTTAGCTAACGCTGGTAGTCTCTAAACTTTGGTCTGTTTGTTATCTGAGTTAATACATTTTCTTTTTCGTTGTATCAGCCTGTTGAGTCAGGTTTTACTGAATCCTAACAAGCACGAACACATTGGTGTCTCTAATCTCACAGTTTTTACTCCCCAGGACACTTGTTGAAGCAAAACTGTCATTTCCTCTTCCTTTGACATCAAGCTGGTTCATGGTGCTTAGTCCTGGTCTATTGACAAGATGATAAGTTCTTAAAGAACAGAAGGCTTTGCCCTTATGTGTTTTGAAGCCCTGGATTCTGGTACTGACTCCACTGGTAACTGGCTTAGCCATTTACCTTCTGCCGTGGTTCAACTGTGTCCATTAAAGTTTGTGTTAGAAATTTAATCCCTACTGCAACAGTGTTTCAAGATGGGACCTTTAAAAAGTGGTCAGGATTAATGTTGTTATCATGAGATTGGGTTAGTTATCAAGGGAGTGGGTTCCTGATTTAAAAAAATGAATTCAGCCCCTTTCCCATCTCTCCACCCATCTTTCATGTGTGTACATGTGTGCAAATTCACACATCCTCCTTTGTCCTTCTTTCTTCAGCCAAGGAATGATGCAATGAGAAAGCCCTCACCATGGGCTGGGGATGTGGCTCAAG